TTGGCTGCATCGACCTCGAAAGCATCCGCGACACCTTGCGCTGGAAGCTGCGGCCTATCCCTAGAGCGGCCCACGCTGGCCAGCACAAGCTGCGCTGCTGACCTCGCGTCTGGCTGAGCCGCAAAAGCCTCAAGAGTGAGGCGCGCGCAGGTCTGGATGCGAACGTAAATCTGCTCCCCCAGGGAGGGCAGCACTGCGAACCTCCCGAGCACCTGGCAAGCCAACACTGCCAGGGAGCTATCATCAATGCCTTCGAGACCCTCGAGCCACTCCGCAAATGCCTCCGCCCACGAGGCGAAGTCCGCATCTGAGCACTCAACCTGTAGCAGCAGCTCCAACGCTGGCTTCGCTTCCGCGCCCGTGAGGCCGGACAGGGCACTCACTGCTGTCAGTGCCGGGACCGAGGCGCAGTTAGTGGGGGATAACGACAAGCTTCCTCCATCCTTCAGTACAGCGGTGGCTGCCATCAGCTTGATGCGCGGATCAAACGGCTGCAGAGCGGCGGCCTGCAGTTGCACCGCAACCCTCGACTCACGCGACGGCTCCTCCAGGAAGCGCGCGAGCGTGCGTAGCCTGTGCTGGTCGCGGTCGTTCGCCAGGTGCACCTCAGAGGTAGCAATCGCGAATGCCTGCCGGACTGCAACCACCGAGCGGAGTAAATAGTCATCCAAAGAGCCGTCCTGCTCGAGGACCAAAACGAACGCCTGCTGTGCCACCAGCTTGCCCACTAGCTCGCACAAATCGACCGTCGCTCCGAGCAGGCTGCTACACTCGGCATTGCGCTCCATTTTGAGCAGCCAGTCGAGAGCGATGACGTGGGCAGTCACGAGCGTGAAGCACGAGCTCTGGAGCAGCGGGTGCTGCTTCGGTAGCAGGCTCGAATTGATGTGCTCGAGCAGCTTCATCAAGCTGGTCAGATAAGCCGTCTTCTGCGACGCCCACTCATAGTCCGTTGAGCTGCTAGTAAGGAGCCGAAGCGCAGCGAGGCTGCCCAGCACGTCCCCATGCAGGTCCCTGATCCGGTCCTCGCTCAGGCTCTCCTTCAGCTCCTTCATCTCCGTGAAGATCTGCTCGACGCCTTCGCCCACCTTCTCGTCCAGCTGCCGCAGCGAGGTCTGCAGCTGCTGCAAGCCCTCGTTGACCTCCACACGCAGAGCGTTCATCTCACGCTTCACCGTATACAGGCCGTATAGCACGAGCCCGGTGCCGACGGCACTGACAGCGATGTTTTTGAGCGATAGGGCGACACTCTGCACCTGGTGTTGCACCCGGTGCTGCACCACCGTCGTACTCGCCGAGCGGGTGGCAGCGGCCACGACGGCCTCACTTTGGAGTGGAATGCACTCGTACACAAATCCTGCTGCTCGAGTTGCATTCGCCACATTCGCGATGCCGGCCTGCTCGCTGGAATGAACCATCTGAGTCGTCGATCTCTCGCCGAGGTGGCAAAGCGTCAGATGGAAGTAGAGATCGCACCCATGCATGCGTGCCAGCAGATTCGTTGCAATGTCGCCGGCCTTTGCCACCGCCGCCTTATTGCGCCCACCGAGAAACTGCCTGATGAAAGCAGGCGCGGCGGCAGCTGGCCCGAGAAGGCTGCGTGACTCTGCCGTGTCGATCTTGACTTGAGCGTCCACAAAGGGCGAAAAGCCGAGGACCTTCGACGGCACCTTGGGCACCACGTCGAAGCTGTTGACAAACTGGACGGCGCGTAGCACGCCGTCGTCCGACGCGAAGCATCCCTTGCACACCTCGTTGAAGGCGTCGTTGCCCACCATCGGTGCTCCCCACGTCATTGCGTGCACCTCGCAGGTCGGGGCGATCTGCTGCCACGCAAGAGCGAGAAGCACACTCAGGGCGCCGCCGAGCGAGTGGCCCACGCAGTAAAGGCGCGCATCGTGCGCATCCTTCAGCGCGGCCTCGAGCATCGTCGACAGCCGCAACGCAATCTTCTGCCACGCGAGATGCACCATGGGCGGAGGATCGGCGCCCTGCGAGGGCACGATTCTCTGATCGGCCAGCACCAGTTTGGCCTGCGCGTTGGCCAGCCAGTTTTCCAAATAATACGACCCGCGAATCGCTGCGACAAATGTCGGCTTGTCGGCGGGGATCACGGATATGCGATGCACTTGCATGCGGACCTTGACGTCCGAGAGCGTCCCATCGGATATGGGATCAAGCGAGCCCTCTCGCGGTTGAAAGAGCGGTGCCGTGGTGTCGTATACGTGAAATGCGGCCTGAGCGACGAGTTTGAGAGGCGCTCCAGTGGTTGCGCTCGAAGTCATCGCAGAGGGCGCGCCTCCTGCCGAGCGTCGTACAGCGTCGCACCTTGCAAACCAGCTGGAGCGCTGGGTTCTCTTTTCCCGTGTCGAGTCCACAGCTGTGAATCAGACGCCCCTTGCCTTCGGGGGCAATCCCGCTGGGCGTGGGCGTGCTTTAACAGCCTCACAAGAGTAGGATCCGCCGGGATCTCCGGCGCTTGGTTTCATAAAAAGATAGAAAAAGTCGGCCGGCGAGTGCTCCGCAGCAGCCTCGCTGAGCCAGAACAAACACAAACTGAGCCAGACGGTCGGCTCGCGAGGTGGATGCTAGCATGAGCCCGATGCGTCGCAGTGCTCTTGCGTTTCGGCGGTAGTGATCTGATCACCCGAATACCACGTTCGGATCGCTCCTCATCGCAAACCCCGTCAGCAGTCCTCCTCCGGGAATGTTCGTAAGAGCTAAAGCTACAATCACTAAAAAAAGAAAAAGCGAGAAAAAGAGCCGAAAAGCGGTCGATCGGAGAGCCAAGGTGTGACGCCGATGGAGGCTGGCAAGATCGGCTCGGTCGCGGTCGCGCAGCATGCTCTGTGCGCCATCAAAGACGGCCGCAAAGGCCTTCTGACACCGCAAATCATTGCTGAGCTTGAGGGTGGGATGGACACACGCTTGGGAGCGTGCGCTGGCCTGTCCTGGGTCTTCTCCGGTTGCCAATTTCTCGGCGCCAAGGCGGCGCTAGCAGGCACGATAGGTGTCGTTGTCAGTACGGGTATTCCCCTTGCTGCAGCGGCTCCGGGTGTCATGTTCGCCGCTAATAGCGCACGCCTGGCTGCGTTCGCTGCGTTCAGCATCACAGGCGGAGGCGCTGGCGTGGTGGCCAACGAGGCGAGAGAAAACGACGATGCCAGCACGACCGATGCGACGGCAGAAGAGGCTGCATTTGCGCAGCGATACTGCTTCGCATCCAAGCACCTGCTCAAACCGTCTCGCGTGTATCCTCTCGCGTTTGGCTTCTGGAACCTGGAGGAGAACGACACCCTCTTCGAGCTCGTCCTCAAGTCCAAAGACACGACTTTCCAGATGAAGCTGCAGCTGCTGCACGTGCTGATACGCGCGTGCGAGTCGCCGCTTGTCGGCGCGGAACGGCTCGAACATGCCCTCGAGCGCTCGGCGCAGGCGATGAACCGCGAGCAGTCGCACAGGGTTTTCGCAGCGCCCGCACAAGTGCTGGCCGAAGTCAAGGGCTTCCAGCGCAAAACCGATGTTCCCCTGTCGTGGGTGCAGCTCGAGCACGCTCGGTCGACGGGAGAGCACTCGCTCAAGATCTCCGACATGCGGAGCGCGGAGACACTGCCGTTGGTGGACCTGATGGGGGCGGCGGGCGAGATGAGCCTCACACTCGTCGACATCAAGCTGCCATCGGACCAGTCGTTTCCGGGCGGTCTCGACGCAAAGTTTTCCCTCTACTATCTGTCCGCCGAGCTCACCGTCGCACATGTCGCGTCCAAGCTGAACTCCTTCTGCGAGGCTGGACAGCTGGCGGATGCCTTGTTGCTCCTAAAGCTGCTCGATAACCTCCTCGTCATCGAGATGCCACTGCACTTCAAGTTCCCTGGCTGCAGCGACAAGAAGTCCACCACGGTCAAAGAGGCGATCGAGGCGCTTCAGGACCTTGCCATGACCGAGGCGGCCCTGCCCCGAACCTTGATGAAGGCTGTCGAGCCACTGCCACCAGGTCACGATAAGGCAGCAAAGGCGATGGTCGCGGGTGGAATGACGGTGAAGCAGGTCGCTGAGTTGCTCAACGTTGACTTGGCGGCGGTCAAGGCGACGCTAGCGCCGGACGAGTTGACAGATGAGGGCAACCTACCCGTCTGCCAAGTGTCAACCTTGACTGAGGGCCCGCACAAGGCGTTGCCGATGTACTTTACATTCGGTGCCTACGGCCAAGTGTTTGCCGAGCCGCTCGTCTGCGCAGCGATCTTCACGGAGAAGCCACTCGCGAACGAGCAGCACCTTGTCGACCAAAAGGTGTCGGTGACGCCTTCCATTCTCCAGCGAATGAAGAACGTGTGCGGCGCGACCAACTTCTCCCTCATCCTCCGCAACAGCGAGCACATGATGCGCTACATCGTCGCGGGCACCTGGCAGAGTGTGCAGACTCTAGAGCATTCCGACTTCTATAAGAAGGTGATTGCCGAGGAGTTTGTCGAGGGCTTCATGGGCAAGGCGCGCCAGTCATCGGCGCAGCGACGCCTGCGCGAGAGCTACAACGTCCTTCCCGAGGAGCTGAACGTCGCCCGCGAGGCGTCGCTCCGCCCGGTGTACTGCGAGAAGACGTGCGCCGCGTGCACCACTGAGGAGGACGGTGAGAACTCCGACGGCGAGATGACTGTGGTGAAGGACTCGTCGGAGCACAAGCCGATGCCGCCGCTCTTTGTGCAGATGCATGGCAAGGAGCCCTTGTCGTCGTTGACGCCAGAGATGATGGAGAACGACATCAACATCGTCGTGACGGGGCCCACCGGCAGCGGCAAGTCGCACCTGATCAACGTGCTCTTCAACTGCGACGTGTCGGAGTCGAGCTCGAGCATGGAGTCCGTCACCCAGGACATCCACTTTTTCAGAGGGGTGCTGAACATGAGCCACCCGCTGGTTAAGGAGTTGGACGCCAGCAAGTACACCGGAGTTTCGCTCTTCAGCGACAAGTGCATCAACATCATCGACACCATCGGCTTCTGCGACACGCACATGACGCAGGAGCAGGTGATGGCAACGATCAAGACGAAGCTAAAGCACAACGTGGTAAACGTGCACAAGGTCATTGTCGTGACGGACGGCACAAATCGACTCTCCGAGCAAGCAACCCGGGCGATCCAGGACATGATGAGCTGGCTCCAGTACGAGAAGTATAAGCCGAACTGGATCTTCGTGAGCAACAAGTGCGACGGCTTGTCGAAGGCAGAGCGCGAGAAGAACCTGGCGGACACTATGAAGCTCCTGCGCGTGAACCAGACTGATGTCGAGGGTACCTTCGCTGGGGCGCTGGTCAAGCTTGCGATCCCGGTCGGCTTCCGCCCCAAGGACAGGCACATGAGCGTGGACGCCAAGAAGAGCGAGAAGAGCCTTGGCATGGCTATCCTCTATTGGAATGAGGCTGCAAGCCTATCCCGCTGCAAACCTATCCCCGTCCACCCGCAGGAGAGTATGTGCACCATCTCCTGATGCCGAGACCGGAGGGTGGTCGGCGTGTGCTCGGAGTGCGCGGGCCGCGCGGGCCGCGGGGCGCCCGCGGGCGAAACTAAGAGCTAGGATTAACGTGTGTAAGTCCTGTCGGGGTGTGTCATTCGATCTGTGTCCGCGCTCATATTAGCTCAACCGTGTGAACAAAAACTCCTGTATAAATCGCACGAATCTCTCCGTGGCTGTGCGCTCTGCAGAGCCAGCAGCGCGGTCAGTCAACTGTCAAGCGACGTGAGGTGAGATGCAGCCGAACCGCCGAGATGCGGCCGAGCTCGCCACCTTGGACTCGACGAGCACAAAATCGGCCTCGAGCTCCTCGAGTCTGCTCTCCGCAGCGTTACACGAGTTGTCCGTCTCGGCCCAGCGCAGGCCAACCTAGCCAGCATGGGTGTGAGACTGTGTGAATTCGCGGAGCGAAGAAAATTTTATCCGACCCTGCGACCCTGACGCTGCTGCTCTAGCTATCAGACATGCACTGCTGACTGCTGCCACAATGTGCGACCGGTGCTGACCCACTTGGCGGCCTTCCCGGTCAGTGGTGAGGCGCAGTTCAGAGCTGTCGATGGCGCGATGCCGCACTGGTCCCACATCGGTGACACGAGACCACCACGTTTGCCGGTCCAAGAGAGAGGCACCGGCGCTGTCCTGAGAAGGTGCATGGTCCCTCTTGACTGCCCATGCGCGCGAGGCTGTGTAGGCATAGCCTCGAGAGTGCCAGCAGCCAATCCGAGGCAGTTTGTGACGCGCATTGCGTCAGAAGCGTGCACCGTGCACGCGCTGGAAGGACACCTTCCTACTGGCCGTACGATCAGGTCGTCACTGAATGCCGAAGACTAAGGCCGCGAGCTATGCAGGCGGTCAGTTGAGCAGCATGGCACGGTCAGCAGCGCCGAAAGGATGTCGCAAGGCGTGATAGCATGGCCGCAAGTACGCCGAAATCCCATGAAAACAAGTAAAAAATCGCGCGAAAAAAACAAGTAAAAATCGCCCCCCCCCAGAGCCCAAAGAGCCAAGTGGCCCCCCAGTAGTTTTAATTTTTCAACGAAGCACGATTCGATATTGTGCGAAGAGTGAAGTACTGACCAGACATGTGTATACACCGAACAGCGCGGTGGGAGCGTAACCGAATGAGAGAGAGATGCGGTCTGTCTCCCGCCGGGGCCTCATGCGGACGATCCAGTTGGGAGCGGGGCGGGAGACCGGAGGCAGGAGGCCGGGGGGACAGGAGAAGCGTACTGTCGTCGCGCGCAGCGGCGGGGCGGGAGCTCGAGCTATCGTCGCTTGAAGAGACTCGGTATGCCCTTCTGTGCTGCTGTCTGCAGCTCGGCCTCGACCGCCGCGACGTCGTCCTCGAGGGCGGCCTCCACCTGCAAGGAGAGTTCCTCCGAGCGGTCCAGAAGTGCATCCTCGCACCCGCTTCGCGTCGCGGACAATCTCGGGTCATCTCGGGTCATCTCGGGCCATCTCGGGCCATCTCGGGCCATCTCGGGTCATCTCGGGTCATCTCGGTGCCATCTCGGGCCATCTCGGGCCATCTCGGCATGTCGCACCCGCTTCGCGTCTCGGACAATCTCGCGCTCAATGCCGACCACGTCCTTGACGATCTCCTTCTCGAGGCCGACGACGTCGTCGACGAGAAGCTTCTCGAAGGTGGAGAACCCGCCCGCCACCTCCGACGAGGTACAGCCGAGATGTGGCCGAGATGGAGAATCGCCGAAGTGTGAGCCGAGATGTGGCCGAGATATGGCCGAGAATCGCCGAAGTTGAGAGCCGAGGTACAGCCGAGATGTGGCCGAGATGCAGCCGAGAATCGCCGAAGTTGAGAGCCGAGATGTGGCCGACGTACAGCCGAGACGTGGCCGATCGGTGTCGCCGGGAGATCGCCGAGATGCAGCCGAACCGCCGAGGTGCGGCCGAGCTCGCCACCTTGGACTCGACGAGCACAAAATCGGCCTCGAGCTCCTCGAGTCTGCTCTCCGCAGCGTTACACGAGTTGTCCGTCTCGGTAAAGTCGGCCCAGCGCAGGCCAACCTAGCCAGCAGGGGTGTGAGGGCGCATCCTAGACTCTGTCTCGGTCGATTCGGGCGCACGCAGACCTCTTATGAGCGTGTGCAGATTCTGCTACTTGCCGTGTCCTATTGCACCCGAGATGACCCGAGATGACCCGAGACTGCCCGATACTATACCACACCGCCCACGACCCCCACACTGGGTTCGGTACTCTGGAGGTATGGTACGTAAGCCTGCCCGCCACGACTACACACCTTGTCGAGCGCCGCGCTGATCTCCGGCACGTACTCCTGCCGCAGCTTCGGCTCGCGCCTAACACGCCCAGCGCAGCTCGGCTCATCTCGGCTGATACCTCCGGCGCGTCCTCTCGGCGCGGCTTCGGCTTCGCGCGCGTGTAGATGACTGCGCCGCCGTAGCCGTCCCACGCGTCGTTGCTGCCGCGGTAGTAGACCACCACGTAGCCGCCCTTGCCTAATCGTGGATGCAAAACTGCGTCACCGACGCGGTCATGGTAGACTCGCGGCGTCGCCGCCCTCGCCCTTTGCGTCGTCGTAGGCGCGTCGGTTCGCGAGCACGTACCTTGCGAGCCGAGATCACACGAGATCGCCCGGGATGGGGCCGTGCGTGCGTGCGCGCGCGTGTGCGGCGCGGTGTGCGGCGCGGCGGTGTGTCTGTCTCAGCGTCTGTCACCAGTCATCTTGGTAGTGCAGGAACTCGTTGTCGTGGTTGTACAGGATGCCTACGCGACAAGTCTCAACCGCGTGACGGACACTTCCGCAGGGGCCGCGTGCTGGAACCGCGGCTGTGCAGGACACCGGGGCGGCTGGCGTCCTGCTTGAAAGTCTGCACCGTGTACCGCGTCACAAAGTTCGTCCCCGCCACCGGGTCCTTGATCCGCCTATGGACGTGTCTCGGACATGTCCTGGGCGTGTCCTGGCCATGCCCCGCCACCGGGTCCTTGATCCGCCTATGGGCGTGTCTCGGACATGTCCTGGGCGTGTCCTGGCCATGCCCCGCCACCGGGTCCTTGATCCGCCTATGGGCGTGTCTCGGACATGTCCTGGGCGTGTCCTGGCCATGCCCCGCCACCGGGTCCTTGATCCGCCTATGGGCGTGTCTCGGACATGTCCTGGGCGTGTCCTGGCCATGCCCCGCCACCGGGTCCTTGATCCGCCACTGCAGATTCCCGACGAGCAGGTCGGGCGCCGGCGCGCTGAATCGGTGCAGCTGGCAGTCGAAGATGTCGAAGGCCTGACGATGAATCAATTGATGAAGCCATCGATTGAGCCTCAGCTGGCATGCTGCCGCCGCCGCCGCCGCCGCCGCTGCTACGACTACTGCTGCTGCTGCTGCTGCTACGACTGCTGCTGCTGCTGCTGCTGCTGCTGCTGCTGCTGCTGCTGCTGCTGCTGCTGCTACGACTGCTGCTACTGCTGCTGCTGCTGCTGCTGCTGCTGCTGCTACGACTGCTGCTACGACTGCTGCTACGGCTGTTGCGGCGGCTGCTGCTGCGGCGGCTGCCGCTGCTGCTGCCGCTGCTGCTGCCGCTGCTGCTGCCGCTGCTGCTGCCGCTGCTGCTGCCGCTGCTGCTGCTGCTGCCGCTGCTGCCGCTGCTGCCGCTGCTATTCCAGAGTACACAGACACCTTGTTGAGTCCAGCGGAGATGTACCAGTCGCCGTCGAGGTCAGAGGCGGAGAATTTGGTCACGAGCGTGCTGTCCGCCGGCACCGGCCACGACCCGTCGTCCTGCCGCTGCGGCACGCACTTCTGTTCCGTGACGGCCGCCTTTGTGAAGGCCTCAGTGACGCCGTTCGCAAACTTGTCGCCGCACGCAATCTGGCACGTGGCCTCATCCGGCCGGTTGGTGCAGGTCTGGATGCAGGCGAGGTTGGCCAAGCAGGTTGGGTCCGTCACGCACCGCGCAAGCGCGCCGGGCGCCTTCTGTATGAGGCAGGACCCGATCGCAGCGCCGTCAGTGGCAGCAATGGCAGGCGGCGCGACAAACGCCGGCGCAGCAGTCAGCAGAGCGGCCGCAATCACGCCCGCCGCGTGTCTGCGTGCGCCTTCCAGCGCTGAACCGCCGGCGCGCTGCGGCGCGAGAGAGAGCTTCACCATGGTGCTGCTTGGCGCACGACGTGTCGTGGAAATGGCAGGATTTCGTAAGAAAACACTAAGCCGGCAATGCCATGGAGAGGGCGCCCTCCCCCGAGCGCGCGCGAGAGGGATGGGACACGGCTCCGCTTTTTTTCAATTCTTTGCCGCCACCCCTCTCCTTAAAATCTCTGTGTGGTGGCGGCGTGCCGTCCTCCCATCCCCCCCTGGTTTTCTGTTTTCTTTCTTTCTGCCACGGGCGGCGCGCGACGCGTGTTTCGCCCGGTCCGTCGGGGACTCGGGGAGCTCACAGAAGACGGCCTGATGGAGAAGCTGCACGACCCCGCTTGTAAGGCGTGCGCCGTCTGCTCGCGCGAGCCGCGCAGCTGTCCATCCAGAGAGAGAGAGAAATTTTTAGCAATACCAAACAACTATCACACTCACACGTCATTTGGGGCCTGGCAACCCTGTCCACGCGCTTTTGTTGTCCATCCAGCACAACGGCGAGATTTTTGAAACCCAACATGAAATCACTGAAGTCGACAAACAAAGCTCGCCGCCTGGGCGGACGCGATGCGCGCCCCGGCCAACGCGCCGGTCGTGCACGACGACAAGGAGAAACCAGAGCTCACCCGGCGGTACAACGAGGGGTACAAGGTCTATGCGAGCTGGGCCGGGAGGATGCGATGAAGTCAACGAAATTCCATCGCTGGACGCCCCTCCTCAAGACCTCCTCGACGGGCGTTGGCAACGCCTCGAGTGGCGGCACGCCCGCCTCCGTTGGCCACTCCTACGCCTTTGGCAACACCGAGGAGAAGGCCCGCCGCCTGAACATGGGCTGCAAGGCGCGCGGGCAGCCCGGCCAACCCTTCTCCCACAAGACCGGCCACGGCTACGTCAAGGCGCATCGCGGTTTCTACCACGACGCGATCTTTGTCAAGCGCAACAACTTCAACCTGCTGCTCCACGAGACGTTCGGCGGCGGCTTCTCGCCCACCGCCGTTCTCAAGCTGCGCCGCCTCGCGCGCAAAGTCGCGCGCGGCAGCGTTGACCGCACGGCCTACTCGCCCAAGTACTCGCTCTCTTTTATGTCCCACCATGCAGAGCGCATCTCTCTCTCTGTTGTGCGAGGCGTGAACCGCGCCATTCGCTCTCACCTCCGTGCTCGTGATGGCCGAGCTCCCCGCATCGGCGAATGTGCTCGAGCTCACGGTGCTGCCTACGAGGCAGCCGTTCGGCGGCCGCGGCTGAGGCGAGCCGCGAGATTTCAACCATTTTTCCCAGCTTAAGGCGCACTTAACTTGGGGCAAGAGCAGCCGGGGCACCGCCGACGCCGAGACTTTCGCCGCGGACGGGCGCGTGGCCAACGTCGCACCGGACGGGGCGGACGCACCCCACTGGTCGGCCGGGACGAGCAATACGCGCTCCCCCGAGGCGGGCGGCAGCGTGCGTGGAGGTGCAGGAGGGCCCCTGGGAGGCCACTCCCTCCGACGGCCGGCGGGCGACGAGAGGCCACCGCCGTCAGCACCGCCGTCGCCGCCCGAGCCCGCCGCCCCCGCGAGGACTACCGTGGAGGCGGCGCGAGCAGAGGAACGGGCGGCGTACCAGGACCTATGCGCTGCACGCGAGAACTGGAGGGCGAAGGTAGCCACGGTGCGCAGGACACAGGCAGCGCTCGACGTGGCGCGGCAGACGTGGGAGGACGCGTGCGACGCGTCGAACCAGCTGAAGCTGATATGGGAGCGGGTCCTCTTTACTTCGGCCGGGGACGCCATCGGGTACTACGCGCTGCACCGCAAACAATCGGAGGCCGCATTCCACCGCTCCCTGGAAGTCAATCGCCTGGGCAACCGGTGCGAACAGTGCGTGCAGAGCCTCTCCTACGCGTGCGCATACGTGCGACACGCTGCACAACGCCACGCCGAGGCGCTCGACGCCCTGGGCGGCCTCGAGGCAGGCGGTAGCGCGGGCGAAATGGCGTGGGAGGAGCCCCCGGGAGGTCCCCCCCCCTTGCGGTCGGCGGACGGCGCGTCGGCCAAGGCGGCCAGGGCGAGGTCCTGCAGGTCGCACGCAAGCAAGACTGAGGGGTGAGGCGCGGGCGAGAGCGGCTTGGCTGGAGGTCCGGCGTACCGAGGAGGGCGGCGCGGCGGACGAGATGTTCGCGAACACGTGCACCACGTCGATGACCAAGCCGGCCTTCCAGTGGAAATGCTTTGCGGGCGGCGAGAGAAGGGGCTTCTCTGCTTGCACCTCTGCACTTGCGCCGGCTTCGTCGATTTTTCCAAAGACAGCGCGCATTGCGCTTTGTGCTGCGGCGTTTCGGCCTGCTGCTGCCGGGCCGCGGCTTCTTCGGCTCTGTCGCGGGGCTCCTGGCTGCGGAGCAGACCATCCCAAGAGCGCGTTTGCTGCCTCGAGCCATCATGGCGGTCTTGGCGTTGCTCCTGCCTCGACGGTTGCGCGCTCCCCCCTTGGCGCTCCCGCTTGGGATCCCATTTCTTTTTAAATTGTCAGAACAGATTGTCAGAACAGCAAACTTGGACTCGAAGTTGAAAGTTGAAGTTTGTGTCAGAACGGGACCAAGTTTGTGTCAGAACAGGGCCTACGCCTCAACGTGAGAGTGTCGCCTTGGCGCTTGGGAGGACGTGCTGGGTGTGTGTGTTGATTGAGTCCGTCCGTGGCTCGGAGGGAGACTTCAAGACAGGAAGAGGGAAGGAGCGGGGCAACTGGGAATGTCAGAGCCCCTGAGCTGTGAAGAGAGGGGAGGATTTTTCGCTGTCAGAACGTTGTCAGAACGTTGTCAGAACACTGTCAGAACGCTGTCAGAACGCTGTCAGAACGGCCAGGTCTCTGTCAGAACATCTGCGGGAGCTCCACAAACCAGGTTTGCTCGCAATCGGAGGCATGTGACCCGAACGGTTGGGGCGCCACGCGCTGCTGCAAGAACCTCTTCCACTACCGCTGCCTGCACGCTTGGCTGAGCGACGATAGTGACGTCGAGACGAGCCACGGGATGGAGCCGATCAACACGGCCTGCCCTTGCTGCCGAGGCTTTGTTCCGAAGTCGGTGTCACGCATGTTGGGATAGCCCCATAGTGCATACCAAGCTGTAGCCCGTACGAGCAGTTCAGCAACAGCCAACACCATGTGACCAAGAACATAACAGCCGGCAAGAAAGAAGAACAAAAAACTTTTGCCGTATAAAGCCATGTATGTGAATGGCTAGTTCCATTTCACTCTGACACGCTAATCTTGAAAACGTCCAACGGAGCTCCGTGTTGCTCCCAGCGCCCTCCCCCGCGCTTCCTGCGGCCATGGCCGATGATACTAGTATGAGAGGTCATCTGGCTACCGCGAGCGCGACTCAACTCGCCGACGTCGTCCGATGATTGTGCCTCAAAGTCAGCCTCCGGAGGCTATCGTGGGGTCGAGCCGGCAGTAGCCGTGACATGTGGTTCCACCACCCCTCGTATGCTTTGCCTCTGACCGCCACCGTTCCCAGGCTGCCAAATGGGATGGAAAGGAAGGCTCGGCGAGCGTATAGATGCGTGCTCGACCTCGTCGTGTCAACTTGCACGGCTGCGCTGGTAGGCGCGATGAGCGTCGTGCCACCTGACCCGAGACGGGTCGCAGGCGTCGTACCGAGCGCGTCGAGACCGTGTCCTGATGTGATCTGCACGGGTGAGTCACGTCGGCGTCAAAGGAGCGACGTGCGACCTGTCAGAGCTTGATCTCCGATCTCAGCGGCGTCGAGTCGTCTCCGCGCGCGACAAAGGTACATCCCCAGGACGCGCAGAGGCAGCTGCGACCCCGCCAAGTGGACGGGGGCACTCCGCGCCACCTGCCGAGTGCCCCCGTCCACTCGGCGGGGTCACAGCTGCCTCTGGAAGGCACCGAGATGTACCTTTTTGCGCAAATGGTCAAATCAAGGTTTTGTAACGCGAGCTGTGCCACAGTGAAATGGCACTAGCCAATATGTCTGTCGGGCTGTCGGTGCAGCCACGCGGCGGTACGCGGCTTTTTCGTATATGGTATATCCTATTACGGAGCAGCTTCGTCTCTGCGGGATCATCCCGAGGCTAGCTGCGCGTCTCGCCGCCCCTGCTCGCTGCCGCTTTCGGCTCGTGGCTGGTCGCGCGCGCGATGGCACTGACACCAAAAGAAGAAACTCGCGCACGAGCTCCCCCGCGGCCAGAGTGTCCTATACGTACGCAAGGGCCAGAGAGTTGGACGCGATAGCACTCGCGCGTCCTTCCTTCTCAACGACCTCCGGCGACCGCGCCTCCGACTCAGAGCATGCTCGCATCCTAGTCCACCTCCTCGATGCCCTCTGTGCCCTCTGGCGCATCGGCCGAGATGTGGCCGCCCTTGGGCAGCGCGAGCCAGAGGGTGAGGGCGCCAGGGCGCACGCGCAGCTCCGCGCGCATCTTCGGCGGCGCGTTGAGGAGCGCCTCCACGAGCGGGCTCTTAGGGGCCTGCGAGGCGCTCCCGCTGCCGTCGCTGACGTTGAAGCTCGCCTCGAAGACGCGGCCCGCGCCCGGCCGCCCGAGCCGCTCCCCGCGCCCGGGTCCGCGCGTGATTGCTTTGGCTGTGAACGACTCGGACGGCCGGAAGGTCAGGCTCGCCGTGGAGACCTGTCCTGGGAACTCCCTCTCGTGCTGGTGGTGGTATGCCACAGAGAGCCGCAGGCGGAGGGACGGCGCACCCGCCTCGTCCACCTCCAGCCGCATGCGGAGCCAAGCGGCGCGGTGGTGCGTGGCGCCGACGCTCAGCAGGCTCGCGCACTGCTTGAGCGCGCTCAGCTGCGCCGGCGAGAGGGCGACGACGATCTCTGGCTCGACCGCGTCCCGCTGCTTTGCGCGGCTCACGACGGTGTGCTTCTGAGTGTGCTCCCAGCCGTGCCCGTGGGTGTAGCGGCGCCCACAGCCGTCGAGCGTGTCGTCCTTCCGCAGCAGCAGGAAGCGGACCACGTTCTGCACGAGGTCGACGGTGAGGCCGCGCCGCTGCAGCGCCCAGACGTAGAAGCGCAGCAGCGGCGCCGCGGGCTGGTACAGGTGCGTCAGTGTCGTGAGCGACTTGTCGCTCACAACCGCCGCGCCGTCGGCTATGCCGCCGCTCGCCGGGCTCGCGCGCGGGCCGCAGACGCGCAGGAAGGAGCCGACCAGCCCCTTGGCTCGCCCGTCCGGCCGCGGGCCGAGCACGGTGTGGCAGCCGGTGTGGCCGCTGAGGTGTATCTCACTCCAGTACTCCTCCGTGCGGCTCAGCAGGTTGGAGACCGAGAAGGTGAGCACGGGCGGAGGGCCCCGCGCGAGGGTGGGCGTGTGCAGGAGGCTGGGGGCGGGCACGACGGCGCGCATGCCGCTCATCGAGAGCTCGACCTCGCCGGTCGCGGGCAGCAGCGTGAGCTGCGCCGGCGGCGTCCACTTGTTGTCCCACCTGCTGCCGGTGTTGATGCGGACCGCATTCGCCGCTCGGATCATCGCCTCGAAAGCGGCGACCAGCGGCGGCGTCAGCTGGAGCCACAGCCACACCTCCTCCGCCTCGGACTCGCCCCCTCCCTCCCGCCGCTGGCCGCACCGCCGCACGTCGTCGAAGAAGGACTCGAAGACGCACTTCGTCCAGTCGCCCTCGGCCGCCTGGGCGGCGGTGAGGGAAGCGGCGGTGGGGGCGGTGGTGGTGAGGGGAGCGGCGGTGGGGGCGGCGGTGGGGGAAGCGGAGGTTGGGCGGCGGCGGTGAGAGAAGCGGGGAGCGCGGCAGCCACGACCAGCAAAGGGCGGAGGGTGAGTGGGTGGGCGGGTGGGTGGTGTGAGGGGGGGTGCGGCAGAGAGGGCAGAGCCGGTGACGCCTCCACCTTTGCCGCCTTGGAGGCGGTCGCAGGCTTGTGCCAGGTCAGATCCTTGAGCGCCGCGAGGTCGAAGCTCTCCGTGGCGCCATCGTACGTGTTGCGCGCCGCTGCCGGCTTGGAGGCCCATTGCACGACAAACGCACCGGGCGTGGTGAGCGGGGCAACGGCGGCGGCGATGGCGACGGTGGCGTCGGCGGCGGAGGAGGAGCCGGCGTCGGCGGCGGAGGAGGAGCCGGCGTCGGCGGCGGAGCCGCCAGCGTCGGCGGAGACTGCGCCAGTGTCCGGCAGCGGCAGACTGACGGAGATCGTGGGCGACGGCTCGAAGCCGACCACCTTCCCTGCTTTCCTGCCGTCGCTCGAGAAAACTCTCAGGCCGATCTTGACGCCGTCGACACTGCCGTGGACCTGCAGATTCTTGTAGGCGGGCGCCTCATTGTTCTGGCGGTCCCACTCCTTGCGCTCCTGCTTGACGATCGCCTCGAGCCGCTGCGCCGAGATCACGCCGCGATACAAGCTTTCCACGAGCACCTCTTTGGGCTGCGACATGAGCCACTCCCAAAGCGCAACCTTCTTGTCGTTCCGCCTCTCCTCGGAGCTCTTAGCGGCAACTTGTGTGAGAGAATCCATGCAGAAGCCAACACGAACAAGGCCCCACGGGCGCGCGTTGCCTGCGCGGTTTCTTTTTCTGGAAATACCAAAGGCAATTCCTCGGAGCCTCACTCGACGCCGGCGCCTTGCCTGACGCCGGAGCCTTGGCACCGGCAGCGAGTCTCGGCAGCGCGGCGGTGTAGATGAGCTGCTCATAGCGGAAAACACGCGGGACGCGGCCGCCGGCAACGGCAACGGCCTCGGCGGGAACGGGCAGCTCGTTCGCGAGCCAGTCCGGGGCGACCGTCGTCGCCCTCCCCCCTGGCGCCCCCCGCGTCTCCTCCCTCGCAACCTCCTCACCCATCCTCTCCCCTCCGTCTCAGCGCTCCATTCTCGGCAATCTCGGGTGCGCCCATCGTTTTCGCCGCGCGGTTTCTTGATCTTGTCGTGCCATTAATAGTCTAAGTTAAAGAATTCTTTTTCTGGAAAAAGCTTAAAAGGAATTATAAAAAAAGGACCTTAAAACAGGAAGCAGACTGAGCCGGCGGAAGAGAGGCCGTCCGGAATTTTACAACCAAACGGCAAGACGGAAGCTAGCCGTTTAGGGGCTAACAGGGTTACCGTTCGTCTGCTGTCGACCCGCAGTGGCCCGCACGTACTCACAATAACACCTCTGCTCTCTGGAGGTCTCTCAAGTTGCGCCAGTGGTCCTTGGGCTACAATTGCCCACCATCACGGCAGCTTGAGGCGCCGCACCTGGCCGGGTGGCAGATGGGACAGCAGCTCGTCCGTCTTGGCAAAGAGGGCCAGCGCGCCTACGCGGTGAATCCACCAACACCAGGGCGGGAATGCGGTGTGCAGTGAGTGTATTTGAGCACCGCGTGAATACACGGGATATACGAAGAGAGAGAGAGAGAGAGAGAGAGAGAGAGAGAGAGAGAGAGAGAGAGAGAGAGAGAGAGAGAGAGAGAGAGAGAGAGAGAGAGAGTACGAATGCAGTGAACACAGCGGAACACAGTCGACTACAGCGGAGTAGGTGTCCTCTCGAGCGCTAGTCGGAAGGGCAAGAGATGAGGTCCGCGTGCCGCCCGCCCGGCCGGTCGGGTGGGGGGGCGGGTGGGGTGCGCGCGGGGTGCGCGCGGGGTGCGCGCAGAGGGCGGCGGGTATGCGCGGCGGGTAAGGCAAGACTTCGCATTCCGCTTCTGGGGCGCCGGCGCGCCTCCCGTGTGCCAAAAGAGGATGTGCTTGCCGCGGAAGCGCTCGGGCTGCGCGCGCGCGGCCTGCGCAAAGTAGTAGAGCGCCTTGCCCGAGTAGGTGTGATCGAGCAGCACGCCCGACTGCCGCGCCGTCTCTGCACAAAAGGCCATCAGCTCGGGCGTCGCCACACCGTATCCCGCCCCCGCGCCCGGGTAGATCGCCAGCATCTCGCGCGCGCACGCCTCGAAGCTGCCGCCGCTCAGCTCGGACACCTCCGCGTCGATGAGGTCGTAAAAGTGCTCTGGCGAGTGGTGGACCGCGACACCTGGTAGAGGAGGCCGGAGAGGAAGTGTCTACGAAGTGTCTAGGAAGTGTCTATGCTCTGGCGAGTGGTGGACCGCGACACCTGGTAGAGGAGGCCGGAGAGGAAGTGTCTAGGAAGTGTCTAGGAAGTGTCTATGCTCTGGCGAGTGGTGAGTCGCGACACCTGGTAGAGGAGGCCGGAGAGGAAGTGTCTAGGAAGTGTCTAGGAAGTGTCTATGCTCTGGCGAGTGGTGAGCCGCGACTAGAGGCCGTCCTCGCATTCGCCTTCCTGGGACCCATCGCTGACTTCTGACTGTCGTTGCTGCCTCTCCCTTCTCGACTGTCTGTGCTTGTGCGTCTTGGGTCTGTGGTTGTGTTTTTGTGTGAGCCGCGACACCGTGCAGCTGCGGCCGCAGCCCCGCCAGGTGGCTGCCTAGCGCGAGTCCGGCCGCCGTGCCTCCCGAGCCGACCGCGAACACGATGTGGTCGATCGGGTCGAAAGTCGCCGCCTCTTCCGCCGCCGCCGCCGCCGCCTCCGCCGCCGCCCCCCCTCCCGCCGCCGCCGCCGCCCCCTCCTCCGGCTGCAGCTGCTGCCTCAGCTCCTCCACCGCGCTCAAGTAGCCCCAGGTGCCGAGGGGCGTTGTTCCTCCGACCGGGACGATGTACGGCACGCGCCCCTGCCTCCGCAGCTCCGCCGCTACCTGCTCGTTGATCCGGTTCATCGCTGCCAGGTCACCGCCCTGCCGCAGGTAGTCGCTACCGGAGCAGAGGTGCAGCGTCGCGCCGAGCAACCGGTCCAGCAGCAGGTTGCCCTGCAGCCCCGGCTCGTCGCCAAAGCTCTTGTCGCGGACGAGCAGGATGAGGTGCGCGTCGATCCCCACCAGCCGCGCTGCTGCCGCCGTCGCTCGGCAGTGGTTCGACTGCACGCCGCCAATCGTGACGACGCAGTCGTGGCCGCCGGCGACCGCCTCGGCCATCAGGAACTCGAGCTTGCGCACCTTGTTGCCGGAGAGCTCGTTGCCGGAGAGGTCGTCCCGCTTGATGCTCCACCGCACACCCAGCTCCGAGAGTGCGCCGCACGCCCACCGCATCAGCGGAGTCGGGAGGTGGCCGAGCTTTATGCGGCCGTGCGTAGGCGCCGCGAGCGCCGACGCCCACGGCGGCGGCGTATAGCTGAGGCGCTGCAGCAGGACAGACACCATCGGAGTCCTCGGAAGGGCAAGGCGGCGACCCGCGACGCAGGTTGAGAGAGTTTCCCGACAAGGCCGCCAGGGTTGGGGTCCTACATATGTACGGCAGGACAGACGCGATTCATCTGTCTCGCGTCCACCCATACCGCGTTGGTGTCCAGTCCGCACCTTTCTACCTACCTACCTACCTGCGATTCCTCGTAGCCCTCACCCGCCCGACCCCACACATACCCAAATGATGTGTGAGTGAGTGAGTGTTACAGTTGTAAGGTATTGTGTTGCTAAAATCTCTCTCTTTCTCACAACAATCAACATATCTGTCTAGATACCCTCGTCCGTGCCTCGCCTGGAAGCCGGCGTTTGCTGCTCGAGTAGAGGCGGAGCAGCCTGCTTGCTCTCTCTAACCCCACCCAGTCCTTGCTTTGCTTGCCGCCTTGAGCGCCGGATGCGTGGCTGAATCGGAATGTGGCCACCAGTGGTCAAGATCTTTCGTTGACGGCGTTTTGGGTCTGCGAGGTATGAATCGGCATCCTGGGTTGCCTTGAGCGTTGAAGTAAGCTGCTGCGCAAGCGCACTAAATCTGCTGTCTCTCAGTGCACACAGTGCTCGTTCAGCAGGCGGATGCCTGCCGGGTCGACATGGTGTAGGGCGACGTGATGGACGGAGCGGCACGGCCGCGTCTCGTTGACGAGGGGGTTCCAGCTGAGCAGCGTCACCTATTCACAGGCCAAAACGGGTCGAGGCACCTTGCAACGAGCGCAGACTGCGGCGGGAGCAGCGTCACATAGACGGTGCTCACGCCCAACCGAAAGGGGGACCAGGGCCCCTGTGAGAGGAGCACCGAGTAGACGAAGCCCGGGTTCTGGTTGAGCACCCACACGGGCCGCGCGTCCACCTCCCACCGCCGCGCGTACATCCCGTCGCACACGCTGGGGTAGTCTCTCCAGCCGCTCCGCGGCCGGAGGCACCACGAGAGGAGGTGGTCGTTGTTGTAGAGCGCACGGTCCTTGATCTCGCCGAGGGCACGGCCGCGCCGAGGGCGGCGGGTCAGATTAAACGCACCGCCCGTCGTCGCTCCGGACCGCTCCTGTACCCTCCGCTGCCGCTTCTCCACGAATGCGTCCAGCAGGCCGCTCTCCGCGCGCCGCTCGCGAGGGATCATCAGAAAGTCGCTCTTGCAGCACTGCAGGTACGAGAGGCCGCTCTCCTCGTCCACCTGGGCGCAGGGAATTCAGCCGTGCCAGTCAGCGCGCGACGTCGGCATGAAGCTGGGCGACGACGGCATGAGGCTGGGGAGCGAGGCAGGCAAGAGGCAAGAGAGAGCCCGGCTGTCCCGCTGCCGCCACCACCTGCGCGAGCAGCTGCAGCGTTGCGCGGCTCAGGATGGTGTAGCAGCCAAAGACGCGCGGAACGCGGACGTTGCTATCATCGCCCCCGCCTGCAACCACTCTGCCGGCCGCATGCGGCCGCAACGCGAGCGCCTCGTCCAGCGCCTCAAAGTATCGCGGCAGCCGCGCTGTGTTCCACCAGACGTCGTGGTCCGAGAAGATGAACCAGCGCAGGCCGGGCGTGGGCGCAAACATGAGCCACACCTGGCGGTAGACGTGCTCAAGCTTCTCCTGCGCCATCGCCAGATTGGAGCCGAGGTACGTCTTGCCCTCACAGCACGCATGCACGCCGAGCTTCTCATCGCGAGTGTCGCCAAAGACGACGTGGTGTGGAAAGGCTGCGAGCGTCGGCGCGAGGTAGTCGAGCGCGCCGTTACGGATCTGGCTGTCCGACATGACCATCACCATGGCGACATGCGAGAGGTTCTGGGGTAGCCGGGGCGGAGGCATCGCACCGGGCATGTGTCGACGTGGCGGGCGAACCGCCTGGATTTCCGTCATACACATTTACTTACGTCCGTCCCCTCGCTGTCGTCGTTCTCCAATACGTGCCGGTGCGCGCCGGTCCCGTGCCCAGTGTTGTGCGAGGGAGCTTTGTTGCAAAATTCTCCAAAACAGTGCCAGCCCGAGCCCGACTGATTTTTCAAGGTATGTGCTCTTATAGGGTGCCCACAGGACCCAAAAAAAGAAAGGAAAAAAGAAATGGGCCACCCCCGATCGAAGCACCTCGTGTTGGCCAGTCGAGAAATTGAGAGTGTGACTAGGAGGGTGGGACGCTGGGGATTCTCAAAGGTATACCCTTGGAATGGCCGGATCCAGCCTTAAAAGTACGAGATCGCGCGCGCTTCGCGCACAGCACCGCCTGTTATCCGCGGCTGAGTGACGACGCGTGCCGTGTACCAGCAGAGTTGGGCGCGCGCGGCGCGACGGCGCCCGCGAGGGAAGGCGCGGGTGCAGCGGCCGCCGGCCGCCGGCGGCCGTACCGCCCGCCAGCCGGCGCAGCAGCGGCCAGCGCAGCGGCCGCCGGCGCAGCAGCCAGAGCAGCCGGTGCGCGCCTTGCGAGGCGAGTACTGCCGTCCGGCAGCCTTTACTGCCGCCCGGCAGCCTTGAGGCGGCCGGGCGGCAGTACTTTGGGGCAAATGTAGATTTCCTGCCCAGCGTAAGGATATTTCTTTCATTTCTTTCGTCTTTATTTCGTGCCCCACCACGGCAAATTTGCGAGAAATTTCTTCGCCCTGTCACTCCATGCTCAAGTTTCGCCCCTTTCCGTGTAAGGAACAAGGTGTCCCCCATGTTGGACCAGGCACCGTGCGGGCCTGCCGTGCCTTGCTTGAGCCGGCAGGCCCGCGCGGCAGTGATGGTGCGCCTCCGCGGAGAGGCTGACGCTGGTCATCGGTCAGCGGTCATCGGTCATCGGTCACCGGTCAAGCGGGTCATCGGGCGTCAGTGTCATTCAGGCGTCAGTGTCATTCGCGTCAACACAGGTATGGTAAATTTCCGGAAATTTCTCCTTCCGAACAAGGCTGTCATATTTCTCAAAATATTTCGGGAAATCTACATTTGCCCCAAGCAGTACTCGTTCGAACTTTGCGAGCCGTGCGCGCGCCGAGGCGCCCGCGGCGCGCGCCCGCCCGGCTGCCAGTAGGAGGCGGCGCAATATGGCCTATAGTACAGCCCTTGAGGAGAGGTGGAAGAGGCTGGCTGGCAGTGCTGTATGCCCCTCGGCGGAGGGGGGGACGGGCGGCGGCAGCGGGCGGCAGTCCCGCGAGGCACGCCGGCGGAAGGGTTCGTCTTCGCGGGGCGGGGTGCGCACTGCGCGCCGCGAGGATGAGGAGCCTGAGCCAGGGGAGGGTTGGGTGTAGGGTTGGGAAAGGGGGGCGAGGCCGGAGGAGTATGACGGCCTCTTCGACGGCCCATAAGGGGCCGTTGTCTGCTGTGCCTTTTGTGGTGCTAGTTCGTGCCAGTCTGCTGTGAGAGGGGCTTGTATTTGTAAAATTCTGCCGGGAAAATTCTTTTCTTCGCGATGTCCACCTCGCCGCGCCGCCGCTCGCGCCGCCTCGCCTCCGCCTCCACCGCCGCTCCCTCGCCGAACACGCCGCCGCCCGCCCGCCTGCTCGACCTCCCCAGGGAGCTCCTCGAGCGCGCCCTCTCTCGCTGCGACAGCCCCATCGACATCGCTCGCGCCGCGGCCGTCTCGCTGCTCTTTCACTCGCTCGCGGAGCAGGGCATCCGCTTGTGGGCGCAAGAGCGCGGCTTCGAGCTGCCGGCGCAGCCAGAGGGCGAGAGCTGCGCCGTGCGGTGGCTGTGCTGTTCTGCGCTGCTTCGCGAGGCCAACCCGCCGGCGAGGGCGGCGGCAGGCAAAACGCACAGCGTCTTCATTGACGGCGAGGGGCGGCTCTCGTCGTGCGGCTCGTCCGACGGCCCAGAGCTGCTCGGGCACGGCGAGGGCGTGGCGCGGCTCAACACGCCGAGGCGCCTCTCCGCTTCGCTGGGCGACGAGCGTGCCGTGAGCGTGTCGGTTGGGTATTACCACAGCCTGGCCCTTGCTGCTGACGGCAGTGTCTGGAGCTGGGGCCTTGGAGGCGAGGGCCGGCTGGGCCACGGCGACCAGCAGAACCAGCTGCTGCCTAAGGAGGTCGAGGCCTTGGAGGGGCACCGCGTCGTCGCTTTGTCGGCTGGAGGCATGCACAGCCTCGCCATCACCACCGATGGCGCTGTCTGGAGCTGGGGCTATGGAGGGAACTGCCAGCTGGGCCACAGCGACGCGCAGAACCAGCTGCTGCCCAGGAAGGTCGAGGTCTTGGAGGGGCACCGCGTCGTCGCTTTGTCGGCTGGAGGCATGCACAGCCTCGCCATCACCACCGATGGCGCTGTCTGGAGCTGGGGCTATGGAGGCTTTGGCCAGCTGGGCCACGGCGACACGCAGCTACAGCTGCTGCCCAAAAGGGTCGAGGCCTTTGCCGGGCGGCGCGTCGTCGCTGTCTCGGCTGGAGCATGGCACAGCCTCGCCCTCACCGCCGACGGCAGTGTCTGGAGCTGGGGCTGGGGAGGCGAGGGCCAGTTGGGCCACGGCGACGAGCTGCGCCAGCTGCTGCCCAAGAAGGTCGAGGCTTTTGCTGAGCAGCGCGTCATCGCTGTGTCGGCGGGAATCGGCCACAGCCTCGCCCTCGCCGCCGACGGCGCCGTCTGGAGCTGGGGCCCTGGAGGCTTCGGCAAGCTGGGCCACGGCGACGAGCAGAACCAGCTGCTGCCCAAGAAGATCGAGGCCTTTGCTGGCCAGCGCGTCGTCGCTGTGTCGGCTGGAGCGTACCACAGCCTCGCCCTCACCGCCAGCGGCGCCGTCTCCACGTGGGGCAAGGGCGAGGACGGCTGCTTGGGCCACGGAGAGGACCTGTCGAACCAGCTGCTGCCCAAGAAGGTCGCGGCGTGGTCGCCTGGGCCGTGAGAAAGCCCGCGCAGCTCGCCCCCCGCCTCTTTCACCACCGCCTTCCCTTCTGCCGCCCAAGCACGCGTTTCAGATAAGCAAACCGCCCTCACCTCTCTGCCGCCCTCGCTCGCCGCCGCCGCTGCCATTGCCGCTGGCAGCACAGTGCCTGTCCGCACCTGTGTCGAGCCTGTCTGCTGTGAGAGAGAGTTGTGTGCGTGAGAGAGAGTTGTGTTCAATTCTTTTTTACGAAAGTCGAAAGCCATGGGTGGTACGCCCTATAAGAGGGTAAAGCCGTAGGTAGGGCCGCCCCCGCGCGACCCCAGTGCTCCCGGCAATGTGTCGCCGTCTTCGGGGCACGCTATCGCAGGCGTCCGACAGACGGCGCTGGGGCTAGGCGACCGAAGAGGACCTGGCAAGTACTTTGCGCCGCACGCCGCCTTTGAAAAATCCAAAAGCGCGCGCATTTACAACCTCGGCCATCTCCGGCCCCTCCTCCAGGACCTCCCTGAGAGGCATGGTCACCTACTCGCTGCAGCCGCCGGCAGGCGGCAAGGCGGGGCTGCTTGCGTTGGGTGTGGGGACCTTCTTCGCGACCGCGGCGTTCGTCAGCAACACGTGGAAGCTCTTCCAGCTCCACCGCAGCAACGCCGCGCAACGGAGGATCGGCCCGCTCGGCATGAAGCAGCGAACGCCGTCGAGGAAGCTCGTGCGACTGGCGTACCCGCTCATGTCGTCTGCGATCGCCGAGGGCAGCGATGAGAACGCATGGTCGTGCTGACAGGCCGCCGGCCGACATCCTTCTCTCCGTTCCACACCTCTGGCGTCTCGCGTTGCGCTTGACCCATTGTACACTTTCTGGCGGCCGACTGCATGACCCACTTGTACATGTTGACTGTGCATGCCTTTGCCGGGGGCGCCCCGTCCCCGCCGCGGCGTGAGATCCTTACTCCTCGTCTGCGTTTCGGCGTGTATACCCATCGATCGTCACCTCGCGCGCGCGTCCGTTTTTCTTAGTTTCTACACTTGTACTTCCATGCATGTCGCTGCGCGCGGTGTACTGTTGACGGCCGTTACATGCGTAGGTTAGCCTGTTGCGCAGGGGAGGGTTGACCAGTAGCTGATTTATTGGCTGTATTGAAAAGAACGCGCCGCGGGCCGCGGGCGCCGCACGGGGGGGGGCGTTCAACGCGCGATCCGCCACGCCAGCAGCGCGCCAGAGCTCGGTCCCGGCGGCCTCCCATCGTCTCGCGCCGTGTCTCGTCACACATCGTGACGGGCGACAGCCGACAGGGACAGCTGCGGCACGGCCTTTCGGGCGGCGCATCGGCCAACAGATGAACGTGCACGCCATGCGTCCAGCACGCCAGTCACGTCCGTCACGCCAGTCCGAGCGCCTTCATCTTAGCCGCCATCGCGGCCAGCTTCTTCGCCTTCCGCTCCGCCTCGGCCGCCTTTGCCGCCGCGCGCGCCTCCGCGTCTGGCTCCGCCTCCTCCCTCCCCGCCTCGCCTCCCGGGCCCGCGCCGCCATCGCCCACCCGCGCGCGGCTGGCACACGGTAGCTCAGTAACGACGCCGGCGATTCCTGGAAGGAGCGGTGTGGAGGAGGGCGTGTGAGGGAGGGCGTGTGGAAGGAGGGCGTGTGAGGGAGGGCGTGTGAGGGAGGGCGTGTGAGGGAGGGCGTGTGAGGGAGGGCGTGTGAGGCCCCCCGCCCCGAGCGGTGAAGCGCTGCATATAGTAGCGATGAGCTCACTAGCTAGAGCTCACACTAGAGGCCGTCCTCGCATTCGCCTTCCTGGGACCCAGCGCTGGCTTCTGACTGTCGTTGCTGTCTCTCTCCCTTCTCGACTGTCTGAGCTTGTGCGTCTTGGGTCCGTGGTTGTGTTTTTGTGTGAAGCGCACCGCCCGCGACCACTCGCTTGCCGACGGACGCCGCACGTGGCGAGAGCAGCGCGAGAGCAAAGGGGGTGCCGCCGTCCTCCTCGCCCGTCAGAACGGACGTGAACACGCCCGCCACGCCCGCCTCCCCGCCCGCCTCTCCTTCGCCCGCCGCGCCCGCCTCTGCAGCCGCCTCTGCAGCCGCCTCTGCGCCCGCCTCTGCGCCCGCCTCTGCGCCCGCCTCCCCTGCGCCTCCGCCCGCCTCTGCGGTTGTCGTGAGCCTCACCTCCGCCCCCGCTGCAGGCACCTGAGGTGAGGGAAGCTTCTCTCGGAACCTTCTCGGAACCTTCCGCCTGAGGCGAGGCGCAGGGACGTGCGCATGTAGCGCCTTGTCCACGCACCGGGGTACCAGTGTGGGGTGCAGGGGCGGGCGATGTTCCCCCCCCCCCCTCCCCCCCCCCCTCCCCCCTTCACACAGGAATGGCTAGCCGTGCGTGTTTCAAGGGAGGCCCAGTGGCGCGACGCCTCGGCCGGCGCGCAGCTCAGCGCGACGCCGTACAACTCGAGCCTCTGCCGCTTGGCGCGCGACAGGCGGACGAGGACCTGAGGGATAGACACCGAGAGATGGGGACTCAAATGGAGCTCCGCCTCTCAATGATGTGGGGGGAGGAGGCAGTACGTAGACGGAAAGAGAGGACGGAGCCCCCGCCGTGGCCGACGGAGATGAGCGAGAGGTCTGAGTTCACAAGAGAGGAATACACCCCCCCCCGGGGCAGGGATCTGCCTGGACCTCATTGCCGAGATAGCAGCCCTTGTCAACTGCGACCGCCTCCCACCGCCCAAGCCACAGGGGAGGCACCTTCAGCGCGGCCCCGGCGGCAGCAAACTCCGCGCCACGGCGAGGCAGGCCCCGCCGCACGCGCAGCGCCTGCGGGAAGAAGGTTCCGAGAAGGTTCGCAGAAGGCTGCAGACACCGGGACCGTCCCCGCCGCACGCGCAGCGGGGAGGAGGGGGGGGGGGGGGGGGAGGGGGAGGGGGAGGGTAAAGGGAGGGCGGGCAAAGGGGGAGGAGAGGGAGAGCGAAGAAACGAGTGCCGTGGGACGGACTGGAGGCTGTGGCGAGATCTGGGGAGATGGGAGATATGGGGAGATGTGGGGAGATATGGCCTCCCACGGAGGAGAGCAGGCGTCGAGGTGGCGCGCCGCCGCCGCGAGCGACCTGAAGAACACGCATGGCTGAGCTTTGGTCCGGCTGTCTTGCCCAAGGGCGGTGAGGGGAAGGGCGGCACCGCAAAGTAGTGACGGGGAGGTGTGGAGGGGAAGGGCGGCACCGCAAAGTAGTGACGGGGAGGTGTGGAGGGGAAGGGCGGCACCGCAAAGTAGTGACGGGGAGGTGTGGAGGGGAAGGGCGGCACCGCAAAGAGTGATGGGGAGGTGTGGAGGGGAAGGGCGGCACCGCAAAGTAGTGACGGGGAGGTGTGCTGTGCAAACGTGCAGAAGCAGGGCACCCCGCCAGCCGCGGCTCGTCCTTGAGCAGGACGGAGAAGCTTCGCTCTCCCTCCTGCGCTGCGGCGGGCGCAGCTGCAGCCAGCGCGCCGCTGCCGAGCAGCCACGCGGCAGAGCCGTCAAGGCGGCGCACCTCGCCGTTTGCCGGCAGCGGGTGCGGCAACTCGCTGCCGAGCGCGTCTGCCAGGAGCGAGCCAGCCGCCTCCCCGACCACCTCGTAGCACGAGTACTCGCCGGACGCCTCGGCAACGCTCACGGCGTCCGCCGGGAAGAGGTAGCGGTCGAAAAAGGCGTGCAGCTCCGACCCGCGGCCCGGCTCGCCAAGCGCAAGCAGCTCGTCGCCGCCGCCATCCAAGACGGTGAGTAAGTCCTGCGTGTTGCCGGCGGCGTCCACCACTGCCGACTCCGCGACGCCCGCTCCGCGCAGCGCGTTGACGTCGGCGGTGCACAGCCCGTGCAGGAAGCGGTGCCGGTCGGGGCCGGTAAAGGAGAGCACGGACAGAGGGCGTTGGGCGAAGATCAGCACTCCGCTCGCGCTCGCGGCGAGGAATATCATATCTGTTTTCGAGGCGCTCCTTCGGCCGCAACCCTTCCCCGCGACCTTCGCCGCGACGGCACGGCAGGGCAACGATCTTCCGACACGGCTCAACCGCAAGCAAAGAATCTCACAAGCGACTCCCTCGCACATCAGAAATGTGGTCCTTGCGCGAGGGGAGCTCGATAGACTCGAGGGGCCAGGATACGCCGCGAGGAGGACGGAGTTGCGCCGACAGGCGAAAGAAGCCGCGAGAACAAGGGACCGGCAGGCGGCGGCGTCGCAGGACGAGGCAGAAGAGAACAACGCGACAGAGGAGGAAGTGACAAGGGAGAGAACGACGAGGGTGGGACGACCGCGAGGTGGCATGAAGGTTGCAGCGAGAATCGGCGAGAGACTGCGAAGAGAGATAGGAAGAGGCAGACTCCCTAGGGTGGGCGACGGATAGCGCACCACACACCTCTCCTTAAAATCCCTGTGTGGTGGCGGCGTGCCGTCCTCCCATCCCTCCCTTGGGTTGTCTGTTTTCTTTCTTTCTTTACACTGGGCACGGGACTGGCGCGCACTGGCACTAACACAGGTACACCACGGGAGCCGCCTAAGCGACTCCTGCGAGGGTGGCGAGGCACTTAGCTCCGTGCACCCGCCCACCCCCGCCAAAAGAATTTTACAAGAGAACAGTGGCCAGGGGCGGGGCTTGCATTTTTGCCGTCGCCAGTCGCCCCCCCAAACGCTACAGCGGGGGCGGCGGGGGCGGGGGCGGCGGCGGCGGCGCGACGGGGTGGGTAGGGGGGTGGGGAGCCGCTGCCGTGTCGCACTAATCCCGCGCCCCGGTTTTTTCGCCAGCCTAGTGCGTTCGGTTGATTGAGGAAACCCCTCGAGTTAGCTGCTTAGTCGCGTGCGCGTATGCTCGCTGTCGTTGCAGTCTCTGGAGGCTGCGCCGCGGCTCCCGAGCGGCGCGTGACCCGTGCCAGTTTTGGTAAGGTTTTGCGCACCCTCTCAACTGACTCCCTGAGGCAGGGTGGCGCGGGTGCGGGGTGGCTCGGCAGCTCGGCGGGAGGCCTCCGACCCGGCTACCTTGTGCTGTTGAAGTTGCTGCAGGAGACGCCGATGACGATGGCGCTGTCCTCGCGGCTGGCCAGCGTCCGGGCTCGCTGGCGCGCCCCGCCCGGGATAGCACTGACAGTCTGCCGGCGCAGCGGGCGCATTCAAATGCGCCCGCCGCGCCGGCAGACTGTTGGACGGCCACAGTCGCGAAAGTGGGGTGAAATCCGTGCGGCGCAGTGGCAGCGGTGGGGCCAGGCGGCCCCTCTCGGGGCCGCGTTGCGCAGGCGCGCCGCGCCATGAGCGGTGAGCGCAACGTGACGGCATCGACATAAGCACGTGACACCACTTGTAGAACGCACAGCAGTAGCTCTGGCATTGAATGCCAGCTAGAATGTGGTAAGATGCCGTATATGACAGAAGCAGCGGCGACGGCGATTCCCAGGATCCGCCCAATGGGCATATGCCCCCCCCGCATGTACACGTTTTGCCGCCGGTTCATCCAAAAAAAGAATTCTTCAACCAAACCAATAAGAAGCGGAGTTTTAAAAACAAGAAAGAAAGAAATAAAAACGGACACCTCTACTGTGAAAATGGGTAAAAAGGAACAGGCCCCCGCCCGTTAAAAACAAGAACCGAAAGAACAAGGAAAGAATTTTACAACGGGACTCCCATCCAAAAAAGAATTTACAACAAAGCTCCCTCGCACAACACTGGGCACGGGACTGGCGCGCACTGGCACTAACACAGGTACACCACGGGAGCCGCCTAAGCGACTCCTGCGAGGGTGGCGAGGCACTTAGCTCCGTGCACCCGCCCACCCCCGCCACAGGCAAGCTCACTGAGTGTTGTGCAAAAAAGAATTCTTAAAATACAAGGCTCTCTCACAGCACACTGGCACGACAAGGGCGCGGACTGGCGCGGACTGGCACACACACCGGCTCACCACCGGAGCCGCCTAAGCGACTCCGTTAAGAACGGCAATGCACTCCGCACCATGCACAATGCCGCTCTCCCCGCACGCTAGCTCGTTCACCGTCTGCCACGCCACGGCGGTGTGGAGGACGACCGACAAACGCTGCATTTGCAGGCCGCGCCAATTCTTTGTTGTCCATGTGACCTCGTCCAGGTGCTGAGCATGCGAAAGTTTGTTGCTCAGCTGGTTCGCAAAAAAGAACCCTCGCACAACACTGGGCACGGGACGCCCTCTTCCTCGCTGCCCTTCGTTTCAAGTTCCCTACCGTGCGGCTCGATGCCGGTGTTCGCACGAAGTGGAGTGCATCTCCCAGAGCCCCCAGACCGCACCCCGATCCCCGTCCGAACGGTTCGGCTTTTGTACGACGCCCCAGCGCCCACACGGGGGCTGTGCCTCTCTCTCTCTCTCTCTCTGACCGTCTGTGCGGTATTTACGTCCATGATCATGTGACACATTGGGCTTTTTGGCCAAAATCGACCACTGAAAATCCGTAGGGTCGCTTAACGGCACCCCCGCGCGGTGCCGAGCGGCCCAGGGCCGGCCAAGGGACTGAACTGGACGGGACCGTGACCGGTTTGTAGTAGTCTACCCCCCAAAACGATTTCTGACCTCTCCCGTGGCCCCGGCGGGCCCCGGCGGAGGTCCGGCGCGGCGCTCCAAATCCGCACTTCGCGAGCTTCTACGGGAGTTCACGCGGCCTCTCCGCCTCGTGAGGCACACCCCACACTCACCACGAGCCCTGGGACTGTGCGCGGATCTTTGGCCGCGGCGTCCGGAGCTTTGGTTGTCGAATATCGGCCGCCAGCTAGGCCATCGAGCGAACGTGTCCGGAAAGGCTCTCGGACGGGTCCGGCAGCGGTGCCATGGACCCAGAAGCTCGCCCCGGCGGAGCACTCACGGCTCGACCCCCGCCCCTGGCCACCCAGACGTGCCCCCGGACCGCCGCAGGAGCGCCGACAGCGGCGATGGTGCTCCGCGACGACGCCCTCCCGACGAAGCCGGATCTGGCAGGCGACTGGCCGGCGGAGCCCGGCGCCTGAGGACGAGGATGGCCGTAATGGACCGGGACGAGCTCTGGGAGGTTCAGTGTCAGTGAGTATATTGTAGAGACTGACCATGTTCACAATATCTTGACTGAGAGCTAAGCCAGGGGAGGCGATGCCGGGGCCGTACAGCAGCTTGATGGTGCTTCGCCGGCGTGCGTCGCCGCCGCCGCGCCGGCCGCCGCCGGGGCCCCGGTTTGGACTGTGTTTGGGGTGGAGGAGGGGTCCGATGGGCGGCGTGATGGTAGTTTATGGCCCTCCAATCACCCACTCACTGCCACCGGCCGTAGGGGCCTCACGGACGTCGCAGTTTATGATTTCAAAGGGTCCTGCCGTCGCTCAGTCCGAACACCTCACTCTGGGGGGCGCGACCGAGCCCTCCCTGCGCGGACGAGCACATGGTTTGGGACCTGAGCGATGGCAGAGGCCTTCAAAATTGCCCCGTGAGGCCCTGCCGGCTGGGAGTGGTGAGTGGGGGAAATGAGGACCATAAACAAGCACCATATCCCCCACCGCGACCAGCCCACACACAGCCCAAGCCGCTGCCAATTCCGGCCCCGGTGGCCGCCGGCCGGGTGGCTACCGGGGCGCACAAACGGTCCCTCACGAACGCCACACGGGCCACCACGGCCCGTTCCGGCGGCCTGAGTGCCGCCCCGCACCCGCCCGACGCCCTCGGCCAGCCAGCGCCCACTCTGGGAGGCTTCACCGCCGCCAGCGCGCCGAGCGCGCCGCCCTCTCCTCGCGCCGCACGGGCCGTGGCCGCACGCCCGAGAGGCGGCCCATAAATCGAGTCGAGACGCGCCGCCGGCCGGCCGGCTGCTCGCCCGCCACCCGCCGTGCGCCGCCGCCGCCCCCAGCCCGCACTGGAGAGGCTCTCACGGCCGCTAGCCGCTGTCGCGTCGCCCGGCGGCTGCGCTGGCAGCAGTGCTCGCGACGGCGGCGCCGAGTTTCCCCGAGCGGAGCACGGCCAAGGGTCTGAGACGCGGGGAGGGCGGGGCGGGAGGTCCTCGTGGGGGCGTGGGGGCGCGGAGGCGGCGTGCGGGGACGCGCGGAGGGCGGTGGGGGTGTGTGGGAGGTGGGCGAGGGAGAGCTGAGGCGGCCGGCGGTGGTGGCGGGAGCAGCGGAGGCGACGGCGTCGGAGGGGGTG